GCAAAACAAAAAATAACCCAAATAAACCAACCAACCAAACAAACAAAAAAAAACAAAACAAAAAAAAATCCACCAAAAAACCAAAACAAAACACACACAAAAAAAAAACAAACACAAAAAAGCCCAAAAAAACCTCCTAAAAAAAACCCCAAAAAAACCCACCAAAAAAAACGAGCCCTGCACCGATTTTCTAAGGGACAGACCCGCAACGACGAGGGATGGAAGAGGAGTACGAACAAATGAAATAAATAAATTTAAAAAAAAAAAAAAAATTAAAAAAAAAAAGGCTGCGAGCGCTTTTCGCTGCCGCAAAAGGGTTAAAAAAATAAAGTCGGGAAAAGCGATAGGAAAAACACACGCGGCTCCCAGGGAAGAGCGCGCCCGGCTGCTCCCGTTTCCCTTCCCAACATGCCCCGCTCCTGGGAAAGTGTGGGATGTTTTCCATATATAACTGCAAACTGTTCCATGCAGTAAGAAGTCTAATTAAAGGGAGCCAGGCGAGCAGGGAAGGAGATATTTACCCGGGAGAAAAGAAACCCCCGACCCCATCCGTAAAAAATCCGAAATGCAGACCCTCGCCCAGCAATGGGGGGGGAGGAAGAGAGAAAAATAAAAAAAAAAAAAAATAATGTGGGGGGGGGTGTGGGAAAAGAAAAAAAAAAAAAAAAAAAAAAAGGAAAAAAAGGGGAAAAAAAAACCAGGCGGGAGAGGCAAATCAGAGGATGGAAAATATGGAGAAATAGGAGGGGAGAGCCAGATGGGCCAGGAGAGCATAGGGAGGGGCAGGGCAAGAAATAGGGAAAGTTCCTCGGAGCTGGGATGAGCTGGGAATAAACTGGGAATGAGCTGAGAATAAACTGGGAATGAGCTGGGAATAAACTGGGAATGAGCTGAGAATAAACTGGGAATAAACTGGGAATGAGCTGGGAATGAGCTGAGAATGAGTGGGAATAAACTGGAAATGAGCTTAGAATGAGCTGGAAATGAGCTGGGAATAAACTGGGAATGAGCTGGGAATAAACTGGGAATGACCTGAGAATGAGGTGGGAATGACCTGGGAATAAACTGGGAATGATCAGGGAATGAGCTGGGAATAAACTGGGAATGAGCTGGGAGGGGGCACAGCCACCCCCCGGGAGCCTCCCAGGCTCTTCCCCCCCAGGTGGAGAAGCGAAGATTTGAGCAAAGCAGCCGGAATGGGCTTGGAAAATCAATGGAATCAATCGGAAAGGGAATCTAGGCGGGCGGGAGAGATGGAAAGGGGGTGGGCAAAGCCTGGAGGCACCGCAGGGCCCCAGGGTGGGTGGCAGGGAAGGGGCAGCACCCTGGGCACCCATCCCGGGCACCCACAGGCTCCCAGCCCGGCCCAGCTGAACCCCACCGGTGTTCTGGGGGAGCTGTCTCTCTTCCCGCGTCCAGGGGGATGGGAAAAATCCTTGGGAAAAGCCTGGATGTGCTTTCCAGAGGCGCTTCCTTCGAGCTGAGCTTCCCACCAGCGCCAGGCACTCGCCTCAGCCAGAGCAGGGACGGCGTTCCCGCTTCCCGGGGCAGTCACAGCAATTAAAAACCCTGAGCAGGCTTTAATTAAGTGCTGATTGATTATATGAGTTTGGGGAGAGGCACCACCACCACCACCACCACCATCATCATCATCATCATCATCTCCATGGGTGATGATTCCAACTGGATGCGGCTCTTTGCTCCCTAAAATTGCACCTTGTCCTGTTGCCACCCCGCAGTCACCCCGATCTGCAGCCATGGAGTCTGGGGTGTCATTCCCGGCCCTGTCAGTCATTCCCAGCCCTGACATTCCCAATCCTGTAATTCCCAACCCCGACATTCCCAGCCTCACCTCCACACCCCTGCCCTGCATCCCAGCATTCCTGACCTGCCATCCTGTTCCCTCCTCCCAGCAGCTCCCAGCTGCACCAGTAACCCCGGCAAACTGGGATATCCCTCCATAAACTGGGATATCCCTCTGCAAACAGGGATATTCCTCCATAAACTGGGATATCCCTGCAGCAGACTGGGATATTTTTCCATAAACTGGGATATCCCTGTGCAAACTGGGATATCCCTCCATAAACTGGGATATTCCTCCATAAACTGGGATATCCCTCCCCTGGGACAGACATCCCTGCCAGGAGGGATTGGGGTCTTCCAGCCCTGCTGCACGGCCCCAAAACCAAGCGCTTTTTTTGCCATAAACGTGTCACAAATCCCAGCTAACCCCAAAAAAAAACCCACCTGCAGCGACACTGGGATGGAATCCCACCATGGTTTGGGATGGAATCCCACCATGGTTTGGGATGGAATCCCACCATGGTTCGGGATGGAATCCCACCATGGTTCGGGATGGAATCTCACCATGGTTCGGGATGGAATCCCACCATGGTTTGGGATGGAATCCCACCATGTTTTGGGATGGAATCCCACCATGGTTCGGGATGGAATCCCACCATGGTTCGGGATGGAATCTCACCATGGTTCGGGATGGAATCCCACCATGGTTCGGGATGGAATCTCACCGTTGTTCGGGATGGAATCCCACCATGGTTCGGGATGGAATCTCACCGTTGTTNGAATCTCACCGTTGTTCGGGATGGAATCCCACCATGGTTCGGGATGGAATCTCACCGTTGTTCGGGATGGAATCCCACCATGGTTCGGGATGGAAGCGATGAAAAGAGACCTCAAAGCTCATCCCATTCCCTGGGCAGGGAAACCTCCCGTCATCCCAGGGTGCTCCAAACCCAGCGTGGCCTCGCTCGGCTCAGACACAACGGGAACCAGGACACAGCCCAAACGACGTCCCAAAAAACCCCAAAAGCTGCGCCCAGCCCCCGGGCAGGAGGGACGGGCGCTCTGGGGTCGGCGGAGGTGACGGTGGCCACCGGCCCCGCTGTGCTGGCCCGGGCCCAGGGGGGCCCCGAGCAGCAGCGCTCATCCCGCTAATCCCGGGATAATTGCGGCTTTAGCAGCGATAGGGCCCAGATTAGCGGGGAAATCCCGGAGTTAGGGGCACCCAGCTGGCACCGAGCGGCACCGAGGGAGCCAGCGGAGAGAGGGATCCCGGGAATACAGCGAGGGATCTGCGGGATACAGTGAGGGATCTGTGGGATACAGCGAGGGATCTGTGGGATACAGCGAGTGAGGGAT